TCCGTATGGCCTGATGTTTCCATAGATGGGAAACATCCGTTGAGTCTCCAGTCTGCCGGGAGTCGGGGCCAGGTACATCAACCAAGAAGAACGCGTTGCCACGTGCCCGGGCCTTTAATGAGCACTTCGTGCCGCGCAGCTGCATTTGCAGTGCGCTTTCCATCCAATACCTGAAGGAAAATGCTGTGCTCCCATCTACGTACCGTACATGATGCGGTCGACCTTACGTACTACATCTAGACTCTGGACGAAGTCCCATATCGAACGCATCGCGCTCGGCGAAGCACATGGTCTTGGTTGCACCGCCAGCATGGTACTTCCACATACTCAGGGCCCGTCCGATTGATTTGCCGCCATCTGTTTCTCGTTGTCTTGAGATGACGCGTTCAAATGAGAAGCAATGCGTTCGAGATACTGTCAATGTTTGACATTCACGAGGCGTCTCTTTTCACAGCAAACTCCTCATGTAGCTGCCTGGCAACCTAATTATGTTCGATTCACAGGTCCTAAAATGGTCGAAGGCTTTCAATGACACTCTCTTACGGCCGATTCTGCGCTCATGTGGCTGCCAAGGAGTCCCAGAGCAAGCACTGTTGCATGAAGGCGTACAAGAATCGCCCTCGCCTGAATCAGTTTGGGCTTTCGCGATGACCTCTGATGGTTTGTCCGAATATGCCACTCAGCTTCGGACCAAGACAGCCCTCAGTGAGATGGCCCTGATCCGAAGGCTGGGCGGGACCAGACCGTCGTCGATACTCGGGGCGCTCCAGCTGAACAATGGCCCTCGACAGACAGCACAAGAATATGCCAAGAAAAAAAGCTGCCCGCTTGGTCATCAGCTACACGCCATCATGTCAACACAGATTTGCACAGAATCGCGGGATGTGGCGCGCAAAACGTGCCTCGACGACCACGAGCAGTCAGACTTGGCAGCTGACGTTTGCCTCGAGCTCCAGGACAATGTCGTCCTTTTGGACAGAGAGCCCGAACGCGGTCACGATGCTATCTCTCCGGACGAAGCTCCGTGTTCCTGGCCTAGATCTATTTGAAAAGGGCGGGCTGGAGTGGCGTTGACTCCCGCCTGGTGGCCGTGCGCACGGAGGGAACCGTTAGGAGGCAGCGAGCACGATCTGAATGTGGGGGACGAACTGCTTCTATCGTGCATTGAGTTAATGATACTTTTGGGCTTCAAGCTCATGATCCTCTCTAAGCCTTCTGGCTTATCGCTGTGGCGATATCAACGATGTGAGCGGCAAGCCTCACGGTGCCCTTCAACACCAACTCTCATGCTGTCAACAAGCAAGTTAAGTGAGTCATAAACACCTTGATGCTCCGATTCCACAATACTCCAAGATTTGCAATCAAGAAATTGAAGGGGAAAGCGGCCTATGCCATGATCATCCGCCCGAAAGACCACCGAAAGTTGCAGCAGAAAAGACAGAGGCTGGTTGCTGCCAAGATGAAGCGCACCGACAAAATTCGACCCCTCGCCGGTTAGGGCGTTAGAGTATAAGCCCGCGCGGGCTTTGGTGCGGCACAGAGGATCTAGCGAAGCTGAAATTCCTGCAGGCCATGACCAGCAACGATGCCTGTGAACTCTTCGCCGTCCATGTAACCGTATGCATACGCGGGGCCGATGAGGCTGTATCCATGTGAGGATTCGCGGATAACGAAAGGAACGTGGCTGCCGGAAAATATGACAACCAGATCCTCGGGACAAACATCTCTTGGCCCGAGGCCGGGTGTTCCATCTTCGTCCTTGAGGATGAATGGGCGATGCCCCAACACTCTCCAAAACCGACGATATGGCCAAGAAGCCGATGCGACCCAGTCGTCCTGCGCATCGCCGGAGGGGGGCCTCGCGATGCCGGTCAGAACTTCGTAAGCCTCTGGATAACCGTCTTCCGGCTTTGCGCGGCCCACAAGACCCATATCTGTGATCGGTATTCTCCATAGATTCTGCAAGACAACCTTTCGTCTTGGACCATCGTCAAGATTGCGGCAGACGAGATCTTCGAGCTCCAAGAGCCATTCCTTGCAATCCTTGATATACGAAGGTGAGTTAGCAAGGGACTTCAACACAGTCCCAGTATCCTTAACGCGGCCAACGACAACACCCATGAGGCTGATGCTAGGGCTCTCAAAAGTTGCGTCAAATATTGTCGAAGACCACGTTGTCCCTTTGGATGCATCGTACATCATCGATCCAGTACCGAAGCCTCCAATGGTTGCAATCATCTTGACAGTCCAGTCGACAGCCCAACTGGGGAGGCCGGGTGAGAGGGATGTCGGGCGACGGTAGGATAACACATCTGGCCCATGATCTTCGACTAATGCCTTGGTAGTGAAGAATAGCAACTTCTCCAGAGTCATGGCTTTTGAATAGTCGACAGGTATCCTCCTCCTATCCCTTTCAGTCAGCAGGCCGAGTAATCCGTATATTCGATCCCGAGCGTCCGTTGATTGAATGGCGCCACCGGTAGCGGAGAAGAAGACGGCATTGAAGAGCGATGTCTCCTGTCTCGAGCCATCCTGGATGTTATTCATGTGGCTGAAATGAGCAACCTTGAAGTAGACATCCCTTAGCGCGTCGTAGATGGGCTGATACTTGGGATCAGTATCGACGTATAGTATCATCCACTCGAAAGCACTCCATGCACTGCGGACTTCTTTCCAGTCCTTTGCATGATCGCCAATGACGACATAGGCCTCTTTGGCTAGGAGTGCTTCCTGGATCACCCAAACCCGTGTCCACCATGGACGTTGGAACAGAGTCCATATGTGAGCAAAATTGAAGTTGGTTCCCGAACACTCGAGAATAGTCTTGACGAAGGCTTGGCAGATGGAAGGCCCGTAGTCAGGACGGGCTTTGAGGTCCTCAAGTGTGCTGCCTAAGAGACTGAGTTGGTGGAGAGCGCTGACGCTGGCATCGTCTTCAGGCCCCAGCCAGATGAGGACTTGGCGCGCGCTGCTGTAGATCCTGCCCATCAACTGCACCTGGCGTGCCTTCTCCTCGTCATTTGCTTGATTGATACACAATGCATCGATCCAGATTTTGGTGACCTGTGGCTTGCTGAATTTGGCGAGCCGCTCGAGAGCACAGTATAAATTTTGCGTGACGTCGACGTTCTGACCTTCAAGGATAATTGAGCGACGTTGGGCAGCGTCACCCCAGACGTACGAGAGGGCCGTGAAGTCGGGATCGTCGTCCAACCTGTTATGGACAATGGAACAGCTGATGTGACCCTGACTTCCATCGCCATGATTAATTTCGAGAAGCCGAATATCCCGACTGGCATCCTGCAAAGGCCGGTACTGGTACCCCATGATCATTGCTGTCTGAGAAACTGTGCGCAAGATGCCGTCAGAGGGATGACCGGCTTTGACATTCCTGCCAGCCGCCAGGCTGCAAAGAAACGCCGCCACGCAGCCACGCTAAGAGCCACGTCACGCCAGACTTGCTGCAGGGTCGTTTCTTCATCCGCGATTGCCCTCAGCTTCTTTGGTTACCACTCGGGGAGGTTATGTCTCGTTGATGCAGACCCGTGATTGCCATGGAAATGCGGCTGCCGACGCAGCGATAGTCAAGCCTCTCGAGTCCCGCGTGGAAGATCATCGGATTGGAATGCCCGTCTTTGCTGCATCGCCCACCCCGTCATCTCAGGATGGCCTGCAGACGAAGTCAGCCACAATCCGCCTCTTGGCACCGGCGTCAGTGAAGTGTACTTCACGTCTTGAGTCGGCTCCATGCTTTCGACGGCCCTCAGGTATTGCTATTTTCAAACACTGCAGAACTGCATTGCCGCCAGTCGATTATGCCCGGCTTCTTGGCGACACTCGGCGAGAAACGGAGATCGGTGAAGGAAACGCGTGGCGCCGCTGGGAAGCGGAGGAAATTAGATGTTTCCGACAAGTCTGAGGGTAGATTCCCAGGAGAGAATCGAGAAATTACACACCTATCGCGCTTGACCCGGGGCAGTTGGGCATGTCCACTCGCAACCACACCCGCACCGGTAGGCACGTGCGGATTCTCCCGCTCCACTGCCGACTTCTCCATCCGAAATCGATGTAACTTCCTCTTTTGGGAAATGTTGAAGAAGTCTCAAGGGCTGATTGGACTGTTTGAGAGGCCACATGCGAGATGAAATCATGTGTGATGTATTACTTCTGACGTCCTTTGGCATGACGCTCTGCGGATGCCATCAGAAACGGGCAGGCAGCCTGTAAAGACAAAGAGATGACCAACTTGTGAAGAATGTTCCGACGTTAATCGAACGAGAATTTTAATATGTTTTTGCAGGCTTGGAACTGGGAGGACCGAATACAGCTTCAACATCCCACTGAGTATTATGGCGGTACCAATGCGCAACGATGGTTGCAAGCCCTGGGACTGCGTCAAACTTGGGCTTTAAATTCTTATCTGCACCGATTTCTTACAGTGAATGATTCGCGCGTCTATGTTTATTTGAACGACTGTGTGAGTCTATTCCTCAAAGGCAGGCACTCAAAAGAGCTGAGGAGAGTTGTGCAATGACGAAGGCTACTATTATAATTAACGCAAGATGATGATCGAAAGCTTTTGAACGTCGATTTAGCTATCGAGTTAGAAGGTTTGGAGATTTGCCCTGACTTGTAATAAAGGCCCGACCCTGTTGGACTCTATGATGGAAAAGAGGTAATATTGCTGCTCAACATCAAGGTCAAGACATGTGGCCATGCTTCCACTACTACCACGTCTAACCATTGTTATCACACAAACTCCAATCTTTATGATCAAGGTATTGAGTCTATATCTAGCAGGAACCTTGGGTGCATACCCGGAAAGAAAGTTCCCTGTGCCCCTGGCTACATCCATACATGCCAGCACCTTGAAGGCTTCAGAAAACTAACGGAGATGTTCAGAGATTTCTTTTAATACTCAAGAGACGCACCACATTCCCCATCAATCTGTTCCCGCTCCTTCATCATCCTCTGCTTCATATCTTCATACACACTAAGCCATGGATACCCAAACCTCTAACTCCAGTGTCGATACCGTCACCGACATGAACGACAACACACCCAACTTGGGGCGCGTTGTGAACAACCGACGGGACAAGAACACCGAGCCCTACGAATTAATCGGCTTCGGCCAGTGCGGCTGGGTATACCACCGCAGAGGCAGGAACCACGTCGTCAAACTCGCCCGGCAAGGTTACCAAAACGCCCTCCAGACCGACCACACAGCTCATCTCAAAGTCCACGCCGCATTCGACACCCACAACCCCCCCGTCAACGTCCCCGAACCGATCCGCCTCTCCCCTCCGACGTCTCGCTGGTGGAAGAGACACAGCTCTATCCTCCTCGAAGCCCCGTACGACATCTCCCAGAAAACCCCATGGGCCCTCCTGTCCCAGCGCATTCCCCCCTTGCCAAAGTGCCACCGGGACATCCTCATCGACACCTTCTGTCCCGCGCACAAGCGACGGGACGCAGCAGCGGATTCTAAGAATGAGACCGCGCTGGCGAGGGTCTACCTCGGACGCCGCCGTGTGCCGGGGGCGCCGCTCCCGCCCAACTTCTCCCTGAGGAACTACAACCTCACGCTGGACCAACTGCTCCAGCTCAACGCGCCTGTGGCGGATTACGCGCGCCAAATGGGCGATGCGCTGTGCGTCATGCACTGGAACGCCTGGGTAGACGGCTACGGCATCAAATTCGTTCTCGGAGGGCAACCAAAACCTCCGAAAATGGCGTCCTCTGCCACCGCTGGGAAGAAAGCAGCCGCATCCAAAGACACTGACAGCGCGCCGCAACAAACACAGCCGGCGTACGACGCGAACCTGGCACAGCTGTGGGTTCTCGACTTCGATCTCTGTAGTACGTGGGATCGCGAACGCATGTGCAGGTTTCCGCGCGAGCTAGTCGAGCAGCTCGTCCGGACCTTCTTCGAGAACGACCCGTATTACCCGCGGCCCTACACGGAAAATGAAGAAGAGGAAGAGTTGTGGGAGGAGTTCAGTGAGGCGTATTTAGAACGGGCTCGTAGTATGAAGCTCGTGCACGGGTTAGCTCGAGGCTTCATTCGAACAATTGAGAGGATGCAAAAGGAAGATCTGGAGAAGAGGTTGGGACATGGGATATATGAATATCCGCAATGATGGGGACCAAGTCCATGAGAATGTCTATTTTGTTTGCGCAAGATACCCCAGAACCATAGAAAATTTAACTTCGGAGACGAATATTATCCAGCCACATGCATTTCTTTGGTTGTCTAGTTGTCTGTATCGGCTTCTGTTTACGTCATGAAGTGCCTCTTCGTGAAGCATAGCAAACGGGGAGCTAAGCCTCGCTGATTATTTCGCCGTTAGTATGTCGTATACGTGCGTGGTCCTCGTTTCTGTCATGTCAACTACCCATCCTCTTGGCTTGAAAGAGAGTACTCAACAACGGTCTTTTAACTCGAAGTTTTAACATACCACAGACGAAGAACCCGTAAACTATCACGATGTAATTAATACCTATTAACTCATTCACGTTTACATTCAAGTTAATGATAACCATCTCCCATATATCCCTCTACAATACACCATTTCCCATAATACATTCATTCACATCACCACCACACGGCCCGCACCCACATCCCCAGAAACTTCAGACGATCAGATCTCAACGTCTCACTCCCCGGCCCCGGAACCCTTCTCACAGGCCCCACACGCCCTCCGAGTCCCGCCCGACGTGACATCGTCCCATCCGATCACCTCGTCCGCCCGCCCCCGCCGAACTACCCGAAGAGCCCCTCCCCTTCCCCCTTCCAAACAAGGGCCAATCCAGTCCCAAAACGTCACAATGACCCTCACACTTCCAGAGGTTCAAAGCTACCAAAAAAAAGGCCTCAACCACACATGATCTTCATCCCATGCCTATACCTATATGAAACGCACCACCCGCTACCTCATCCACAATCTTCCTCAAGATATCAGAATATCAAGGCTTCTCGTACCGTAGAAGAACCAACCCACCAAAACCAAAGATGCCTTTCCCCTCAAAAGTAGCGCTCGTCACAGGCGCCTCCTCCGGCATAGGCGCCGCCCTCACAGCCCGCCTCATCGCCAACGGCACCTTCGTGATAGCAGTCGCTCGCCGCAAGGACCGGCTGCAGACCCTCCTCGACGCCCACGGCCCGGACAAGGTCGCCGCGGAGTCCTATGACATAACGAACCTAGAAGGAATGCCCGAGTGGGTCAACAAGTTGAGTCCCCGTCCCGTCCCCCTTCCCCCCTTTCCATCCCGTCCCGCGTGCCCCCCGCGCACCCGGCGCCGTATACCCGAATAACACGCGGCCAAACCATCACGATCCTATCACATCCAAAAGCCCACTCCAAACTAACAAAGCCATCCCAAGAATAACAACAACCTACCCGGCCCTAGACACCATGATCCTGAATGCAGGCATCCAGCGCTCAATCGACTTCACCTCCCCCTCCTCCATCTCCCTGCCCGCCGTCTCCTCGGAGCTGATGACAAACTACCTCGCCCCCCTCCACCTCATCACCCACTTCCTCCCCCATCTCCAGTCCCTCAAGCCGACCCAAGCCCACGTCGTCCTCGTCTCCTCCGGCCTCGCCCTCGTCCCCATCCCCCGCTGCCCAAACTACTGCGCCACGAAATCCGCCCTGCACTCTCTCGCCTGGACCCTCCGCACCCAGCTCGCCGCGCACGACGCCTCGTCCCACGTCCGCGTCATCGAGGTCGTCCCCCCCGCCGTGCAGACCGAGCTGCACTCCGTCCAGCCGGACCTGGTTGCCGCGGGGCAGGCCAACTTTGGCATGCCGTTGGAGGAGTTTACGGAGGAGACGTGGACGGCGTTGGAGGAGGGCAAGGAGGACGAGATCATCGTCGGGCCGGCTAAAAACTTTGCGCATGTTGAGACGGATAGGAAGAAAATGTTTGACAAGATGGCAGAGATGTTCAGGAGTGGATCGAAGATTTGAGCCACAGTCATCGAGGGCATGTCACTGAAGCAAATTGGGACGACAAAAGTGGCATTCAATCTGTATTGGGCCAAATGCCTATGCTAACTACACTCCCTGGTCCTGTCAGCAGCCCCCATCGCCCAGGCTTTCCGGCCTGGAATGATGAAACGGCTGCGTTGTGGTGCTTGTGATTTTTTTTCGATCTTGTAAGGACTTGCACGAAGGCTGTAAGAGAAAACGAAAAGCAAGTGTCTCTCGTCATCCGGGCCTCACGCCTTCCATCTCAGGAATTCGGCGTATTCCCGTCGCGCAGAAATCGAAGCTTCATGTCCAGCGGAGAAAGTAACAAAACCAAGCCTGGCCGACTCTTTCCATACTCCCCTTTCCCTATGGTATATCTTTCTCGGACCGTAGAAACCAAGACTGCACGGAGCCTCTAAGGTGTTGCTCGTCCGAAGCCAAGCGAGGAAGATGAATGACAGACACTCGATACCTCGATGACTTGGCTAAGAATGTAAAAGAAGTGAAAATGTGAATTTGTAGTCAACCAAGCCTCGAATGCTGGAATAAAAGAGCCGCCGGAACCCCCCGTGAATAGGAATAGAACAACATATGATTCGTGAGAAGAGCGCGCCTGACCGTCCAACCCATCATCTAATCCTGCCATCCAAGGGGTTGAGGATCAACCCGCCCCTTGTGCAGGTCGTGAAAAGGAAAGACACTGGGGCGCATAGTCGTCGTAACGTCCAGAAACCAACAAGTCTACGCCAAGATGCCGCTCTTTCTCTTCTCGGCGCTGGTCAAGACCAGCATTGGGGCCTTGCGCTGTCCGTCCGTCACTTCAATACCGGCGCGCTGAGCCGAGTTCTTGAAAACACTGGCGAAGCTGTTCTCACCGCTCTCAGCACTGCTGACGCTGTCAACGCTCTTGCGAGCCCTCTGACGAGAGCTTGGGCGGTCAGAGCCGATGGCGCCCCAGCTGCCGTTGGTGGACGTCCTTGAGCTGGGAAGAGAGCAATCGACGTCGCCAGCCAAGCTGCCAGATCCACTGTGGCCGGAGTCAGATTCGTTATCGGTGATGGGGGTGCCGGACTCTTCCTCGGCGCTCTCGGAGACGGGGCTCATGCTACCGCTGGAGCTGCCGGTTCCCTTTCTGCGCTCACGTCCCGCGCGGACCAAGTTGTGGACAGCCGAGCGACGCGTGCGGGTGGCAAAGTTCTTGCTTCCCTCGTGCTTGGCGGTGGGCTTAGCCTTCAGCTCCTCAATGGAGGGAGGTCCGCGGGGCTGACGGACAGGGTGCTCGCCGGCACGTCCCTGGCCGGGTCCATAGCCCCCAGACAAGGGAGTAAGAGGGAAAGAGGCGGTCTTGGGACCGGCGGACTTTGGGGGCTCCTGGGAAGGCGAAAGGGCAGCCTGGTTGTTACCGTTGAGTGCCAAAGACATGACCTTCTTATGGCCACGGCGGAAAGCATTGGCTGACGGAGGAGGCAGAGGGGTGACCTCGGAGGGAGACTCGTAGCGCTTAGGGGGAGTAGCGGTGCGGAACGGGGTGGCGTGGTTCTCAGGAGGAGGCGAAACCTGAACACGGGGGGCCTGCTGCTGCTGCTGCAGTTGCTGGATTTGAAGCTGCTGCTGCTGCTGCAGGGCAGCGTAAACCTGCGCCAACTGAGCCTGCTGGTCATTCTGGCCTTGATCGACGTAGTAGCCCTGCTGGCGGGTGACAGGGTCGTAGTACGTGTAGACCTGAGGCTGCTGCTGGGCAGCCATGCCACTGAGCATGGACTGCTGAAGGCTCTGGAGCTGTTGCTGTTGTTGGTACATAGCGAGCTGCTGCTGCTGAATCTGCTGCTGAGCACCCTGCAGGTTCAGGCCCTGGAACTGCTGGGCAGCTGCCTGGACGCTCAGGAGCTGCTGCTGCAGGCGCTGCTGTTGCTGAGCAAGGTACATGTTGGTGGCGACAAGTTGAGCGTACAGACTGGGATCCATCTGTTCCTGGTCATCGATAACAATCTCGGGAGGTGCGAGAACCTGCTCAGTGGTGTACTGCTGCTGGGTCGCGTAGGCCTGCTGCTGCTGCTGCTGCTGCTGCTGCTGCTGCTGCTGCTGCTGCTGCTGCTGCTGCTGCTGCTGCTGCTGCTGCTGCTGCTGTTGTTGTTGCTGTTGCTGCTGCAAGAACTGCTGAGCCTGCAATTGCTGAGCCTGCTGCTGAGCCTGTTGCTGGGCTTGCTGCTGGTGCTGACCGTAGCGGGGGAGAGCGGTCTTCGGGCCATTGTAGGAGTTCTGAGCCTGGGCCTGCATGCTGTTGGCGGTTGCATTTCTAGCAAACGACTGAGTAGTAGGCGAAGGCGCGTTGTTGTTGACACCGGCAGGGAAGTTGGTAGCAGTCGAAGACTTGGGGGCGGTTCTAAGACCCGCGAGGAGATGAGATCTGCTGGTGCGAGGAGTGGGAGCACCGTTGTCGGCATTGCTGGCCGGGGTGGCATTGGAGAGGGAGAGTGGCTTAACAGGCCCGCCGCGGCGAGAGGCAAGGCCTCCACCGGGCATGGCCAGGCCGTTGGCCGATGAAAAGTTGTTGGAGTTCATTTGAGCGAGACCGCCTGCGTCCATTGCTCAGATGGGGTATCAATGGAGAGCGAGGAAGTGAGCTGGCGGGAGTGCCGGTGAACGAGTTGTCAAACTCGAAAAGTGTCAAAGAATGTATGGCGGCCTTGCAAACGGCTGGGGCGACCGGGTCGAATTACAAGAAGGATAGTTTGTTGAGGTGCGCAGCGCTGGGCGTCGAGATATATTATGGTACTCGGGTGTTGCGGATGACAGTGGTGTATCAGACCGATCCAAAGCGGTTTCCGGAGCTGGTCCAGGAAAGAGGCTGCACGTGGGTATCGGAGTCGGTGTCAAGGTGAAGGGAGGAGGGTGCCAAAAAGTTCAAAATCCAAAAATCGGCGGTATTTTGGATGATTGAAGGTGATGTGCGATGCGTTGTTGGGGAATTAGATGGTCGCGTATCGAGCGTCGAGGGCAGGAAAAAAGAATGATCGTAGTGGTCAAGGAGTGGGCGACAATCTGCTGTCGATGGGAAAGAGTAAACGGCGCTGGAGATGTCGGGTGGAAAAGACTTGGCAACGGAAGCGGTTGTGGTCGAGGAGAGGAAGGACCACAAAGAGGAGCCTTCTTTGTTGTTGGGT